CATAAGCAAAAAGAAAAAAGCCAGAAGTGGTGCTGTGGCTCAAGTGGTAGAGCGCTAGCCTTGAGCTGAAGAGCTGAGGGACAGCGCCCAGGCTGAGTTCAGGCCCCACGACCGGACCCAAAAAAAAAGGAAAAAGAAGAAGTTGACAATATGATGGTAGCTGAGATCTGAGGATGGTGGTTTGAGCCTGGGCAGAAAAAGTCTGTGAAACTCTTATCTCCAATTCACCACCAAAAAGCTACAAAAAGAGGGTGTGGCTAAACTGGTAGAGTGCCAGCCTAAGCAAAAAAAGCCACAAGCAGAGCTTGAGCAAAAAAAGCCAGAAGTGGAGCTGTGGCTCAAGTTGTAGAGTGTTAACCTTGAGCAAAAAGAGCTCAGGAATAGTGCCCAGGCCCTCAGTTTAAGCCCCAAGGTTGGTACACACATGCACACACATGCACACACACAAAAGAATGACTCCATGAAAAAAAGAAGGCAAAAGATTTGGACAAACACACGGCAAAAGAAAATACTGTATAGGGGCTGGGAAGGTGGCTCAGTGGTAGAGTGCTTGCGTCTCATACATGAGGCCCTGGGTTCAATTCCTCAGCATCACATAAGCAGAAAAAGCTGGAAGTGGCTCTGTGGCTCAAGTGGTAGAGTGCTAGCCTTGAGCTGAAGAGCTGAGGGACAGCACCCAGGCCCAGAGTTCAGGCCCCATGACTGACAAAAAAAACAAAAACAAAACAAAACAAAAAAATTGTATAGTCAATTAGCATATGATAAAACAACGTTCTCTTTTTTTTTTTTTGTCGGTTGGGGGGCTTGAACTCTGGCATGGGCACTGTCTCTGCACTCTTCAGCTCAAGGCAAGTGTTCTACCACTTGAGCTACAGCTCCACTTCCAGTTTTCTGAGTGGTTTATTGGAGGTAAGAGTCTCGCAGACTTTCCTGCTCGGGCTGGCTTTGAACCGTGATCCTCAGATCTCAACCTCCTGAGTAGCCAGGATTAAAGGTGTGAGCCACCAGCACCCAGCTCAGCATTCTTATCAGGAAAAATAGAAATTATAACCATAATGAAGAACCACTAGACATCTTCTTGATACAAGTTAGTAGAAAAGCTACCAATCAGGGAAAATCAGATCTACCTATATAGCCTACAGGTGGCAAGATAAACTGATAAATCAAAACCTGAAATAGGGGCAGGGGCTACAGAAGAAGAGGAAGAATAAAAGAGGAAATTAGTTCAGGACAGACATCATTGGTGTCACAATCTTACAGGAAGAAGAAAGGAGACTCACAATCAGAAAGCCATCCAATTCTCACCAACCCAAGGCCAACCTCTTTAACAAGGAAGACAGTGGAAGAGAGCCAATATGACAGACATTGGCTACACAGCCATCTTCCAAATGACATGTCTATGTTACATGCTGTATTTCTTTTATGGGTTTTTTTTTTTTTTTTTTTTTTGCCAGTCCCGGGGCTTCAACTCAGGGTCTGGGCACTGTCCCTGAGCTTCTTTTGCTCAAGGCTAACACTCTACCATTGAACCACAGTGCCACTTATGGCTTTTTCTGTTTATGTGGTACTAAGGAATCGAACCCAGAGTTTCATACATGCTAGGCAAGCACTCTACCAAAACCACATTCCTAGCCCAACCTGCTATATTTCTAATGAACTTTTTCTAACGTCTTTATTATGATCACATCTTCTCTCAATTCTTCTCTTCCCAGACCCAAGGGCTGAGCTTGCTTGTTTAGCTGCCCTAAACATTCTGGTAACACTCTAATATGATTGAATAAAAAGACTGGGCTGCTAGCATGCATCTGTAGTCCCAGATGCTCCTCCTATAGAGTCCCAACATTAGTTGACCCTGAGACTTCCAGAGGGAAGGAGAAGGCTAAAGGGAGAAAAAGAGAGAGAGGGGCTGGAAATGTGGCTTAGTGGTAGAGCGCTTGCCTTGCATGCCTAGCATGCATGAAGCTCTGAGTTTGATTCCTCAGTACTGTAGAAACAGAAAAAGCCAGAAGTGGCGCTGTGACTCAAGTGGTAGAGTACTAGCCTTGAGCAAAAAAAGCTCAGGGACAGTACCCAGGCCCTGAGTTCAAGCCCTAGGACTGGGGAAAAAAAAAAAGAAAGAAAAAGAGGGAGAGAGGAGAGAGGGAGGGAAAGAAGGAAGGAGGCAAAGAAGAAGACATGCTAAGATGGGCAGAGTAGCATTCCACTTCCAAACAGGCTTAATGATTTTGCTTCAAGTGAAACTCTCCAAGATCACACATGTGCTCTCAATTATATACTTTTATTGCTTCATTACTGTAAAAATACTTTTTAAAAAAACCTTCATGGATGCCAGACAGAGATAAACAGGGGTTCATAAATTTCATTTTTCCTAGGCAGAAAATTGGATTTGACTCTTTACAATTTTAATATATGCCTAACAGACTAATGGACTGATATGAATTCAACAGGATTTTGGTTTCTATACCACTTTTCTACCAACATGATGTTATACTTGTGATTTTAGAAAGGATCTGACACAGGACTAATACACTATATAAATCAAGGGTCAGCAAGAAGACCAATGAGAACAGGCCTGACAGTGTTCAGGTTACTATTACAACTACAGAATAATGCCCTCCTCAACTATGAGAAAGCTCATATGCCAACAGTGGTGACTCAGAACTGTAATCCTAGCTACTCAGGAGGCTGAGATCTAAGGATCATGGTTCAAAGCCTGCCCAGGCAGAAAAGTCCATGAGACCCTTATCTCCAATTACCACCAAAAAGCCAGAAGTAGAGCTGTGGCTAAAATGGCAGAGCACTATCTTTGGGTGAAAGAGCCAAGCAAAAGCACAAGGCTCTGAGCTCAAGCACTAGTACTGGAATGAATGAACACACACATGAACACACACACACATGAACACACACACACACACACACACACACACACAGAGAAAAACTTTGCTGGGTGCCAATGGTTCATAACTGTAATCCTAGCTATTCAGGAGGTTGAGATCTGAGGACCTTGGTTCAAACGCAGTTCAGGGGAGAAAGCCTATAAGAACTCTTAACTCGGGCTGGGAAGTTGGCTCAGTGGTAGAGCGCTTGCCTTGCATGCATGAGGCCCTGGGTTCGATTCCTCAGCACCACATAAGCAAGCCGGAAGTGGTGCTATGGCTCAAGTGGTAGAGCACTAGCCTTGAGCTGAAGAGCTGAGGAATAGCACCCAGGCACAGAGTTCAGGCCCCATGACCGGACCCAAAAAAAAAAAAAGAAAAAAGATAAGAATTTAAAAAAAAAAAAAAAAAAGGAACTCTTAACTCTAATTTACAACCAAAAAACTAGAAGTGGCATTTTGGCTCAAAGTGGTAGAACGCTAGCCTTGAGCACAAAAGCTCAGGGACAGCACCCTGGCTTGAAATGATCAAAACAAAAAATCCCCAAAACTTTATGAAGGCAACTGTTCATGCTGAAACAGATTTTGAGAAACTGAGAATTGTAAAAGTCATGGGTACTTAACTAGTATCACAGTTATGAGCACCAACCTTTAACATTACACATACCTTATGGGTGAAGTAAGATAGCTTGCAGCCCCTTAATCTCAGCTTCTCAGGAAGTGATCACAGATCAAGGCTAGCCCTGGGCCAAAAAAAAAAAAAAAAGAGAGAGATCCAAATAGGGAAAAATAACTGAAGTGAAAGGGGTGGCTCAAGTGGTAGAGCACTTGTCTAGCAAACAGAAGGTACTGAGTTCAAAACCCTAAAATTGCCAATAAATAAGTAGTAAACACCTTAAAAACATGGCGAAATACTCTCCCTACTCTTGATATACAATATGATGCTAAGTTTAAAAAGTACAATCATTCAGGTTACACTGAATTATTTCTATTATACTGAATCTATGTCTTATTTAAGTAAGGTAGTAGCTGAGAATTGAAAAAAAATCTTTTTTTTGGGGGGGGGTGGGGGGATGTCGGTTGTAGGGCTTGAACTCTGGGGCCTGGGCGTTGTCCCTCAGCTCTTCAGCTCAAGGCTAGCACTCTACCACTTGAGCCACAGCACCACTTCCAGTTTTCTGGTGGTTTACTGGAGATAAGAGTACTGCCTAAGCTGGGCGCTGGTGGCTCACACCTGTAATCCTAACTACTCAAGAGGCTGAGATCTGAGGATCAAGGTTCAAAGCCAGCCCAGGCAGGAAAGTCCGTGAGACTCTTATCTCCAATAAACCACTAGAAAACTGGAAGTGGCGCTTTGGCTCAAGTGGTAGAGTGCTCATCTTGAGCTGAAGAGCTCAGGGACAGCGGCCAAACCCAGAGTTCAGGCCTGAGCTAGCTTTGAACCTCAATCCTCAGATCTCAGCAACCTGAAATAGCTAGGATTACAGGAGTGAGCCACCTGCACCTGGCTAAATAATCTTATTTTTTGATGTTATTTTGTGCTCTGAGGCTGGAACCTGGGCCTGGCTCATGCTAAGCAAGTACTCTACTACTGAGCTACTATTAAGCTAGCCTGAAAAAAAAAGTTCTTGATTACAATAAAAACAATAATTATACTTGTATTTGACCTAATCCCATTTGAGTTTGAATTAACTTCAGGTGCAGTGACTAATTATAGAGTAATGTGCTCCGATGGTCTAACATAAAAGATTAAAGTAAGTGATAGGTCCAGTAGCATCCTGAAGAACATATTTTTGTTCATTCATGCCTAGCACAGGGTTTGGATGATATATATTGCTAAAGAAATGAATTTAAATAAACAGGTGTTTTTTTTTTTTTAAGGGAGGAAGGAAAAAGAAGGAAGGAAAGAATGAAGGGGGGGAGACAGGCGGGCTAGAAGATGTAGCTGAGTACTTGCCTAGCCGGAAAAAAAAATCTAAGGCAGTTAGATAATCATTAGGTTATCTGGCCATCATACTCATTTTTAAGATGAATTAGAAATCCTGACAGCTATAAAAGCAACAATGTAAGGTGGGAGGAAGGAAAAACAAATGCAGGCTTGATACTCAGTAGACACTATGTGGAAAATGAACTATTCAACTTGTGAACCAGGGACAGGAGGGGAAAACTGGGGAAAAACAAAGGAAGGGGTGACACTGTCTCAAAATAAATGTATTTGTTATCTGGCTTATGAAATGGTAACCCCTCTGTAAAACACTTTACTAATAACAAAATTTTGTGTATATATTTTACTTATTTATTTTAGTCAGTCATAGGGCTTAAACTTTGGGCCTGTACTGTCCCTAAGCTCTTCAGCTCAAGGCTAGCACTCTACCACTTGAGCCACAGCGCCACTTCTGGTTTTCTGGTGGTTAATTGGAGATTAAAGTCTCACAGACTTTCCTGCCTGAGCTGGCTTTGAACCATGATCCTCATATCTCAGCCTCCTGAGTAGCTAGGATTACAGGTGTGAGCCACCAACGCCCGGGTTGTGTGTATATATTTTTTTCTTTTATTGTTGGTCGTGGGGCTTGAACTCTGGGCCTGGACGCTGTCCCTGCCCTCTTCAGCTCAAGGCAAGTGCTCTACCTCTTGAGCCACAGCACCACTTCCGGTTTTCTAGTGGTTTATTGGAGTCAGAGTCTCACAGATTTGAACCATGATCCTCAGATCTCAGCCTACTGAGTAGCTAGGATTACAGGCCTAAGCCACCGGCGCCTGGCTATGTGTATATATTTTAAAGACAGGTAAAAGAAGCCAGGTTGCTGGTGGCTCACACCTGTAATCCAAGCTACTCAGGATGCTAGGATCTGAGGATCCTGATGGAAGCCAGCCCAGGCCGTAAAGTCCACGACTCTTTTTGCCAGTTATGGGGCCTGAACTCTGGGCCTGGGTGCTGTCCATCAGCTCTTCAGCTCAAGGCTAGCGCTCTACCACTTGAGCCACAGCGCCACTTCCAGCTTTTTCTGCTTATGTGGTGCTGAAGAATCGAACCCAGGGCCTCATGCATGCAAGGCAAGCACTCTACCACTGAGCCACCTTCCCAGCCCCCAAGTCCACGACTCTTATTTTCAACCAACCACCAAAAAAAGCCAGAGTGAAGCTGTCTCAAGTGACAAGAGTTCTTAAGCAAAAAGCCAAGCAAACCAGGTGCCAGTGGCTCATCCCTATAATCCTACCTACTCAAGAAGCTGAGATCTGAGAATCACTGTTCCTATCAACTTAGGACAGTAAAGGCTGTGAGACCCTTAACTTTGATTAACCACCTAAAAACCAGAAGTGAGGAGGGAGGAAAGAGGGAGAAAAATCAGGGAGGGGGTAACAAATCTGACAAGAAGTATACTCACTATCTTACCTATGTAACTGTAACCCCTCTGTACATCACCTTGATAATAAGATTCAAAAACAAAAACCAGAAGTGGAGCGTGGCTCAAAGTGGTAGAGCACTAGCTAGCCCTGAGCAAAAATGCTCAGGAGCAGCATCCAGAGTTTAAGTCCCACTACCAGGACTCAGGAACAGCACTCAGAGTTTAAGTCCCACTAACAATAAATAAATAAAATAAAGCCAAGGGGAAACCAAGAGGTTCTGAGTTCAAATCACAGTACTAGCAGCTTGCGTGCACCTGTATGCAAACACACACACACAGACACACACACACACACACACACACACACACACACACAAACACACCCTAGAAGCTACAAGGGCTAGAATATAATGCAACTCACAGTTTAATTGTTTTCATTTCTTTAGAAGAAATATCTTTGAGGGCTGATTCTAATATCTTAATAACTGTGTGTGTGTGTTCTTATGAAAAAGTATAGGATTAAGAGAATTTAGAAAGAATAGGGAGGGGCTGGGAAGGTGGCTCAGTGCTCAGAGCTCTTGCCTTGCATGCCTGAGGCCCTGGGTTCTATTCCTCAGCACCACATAAACAGAAAAAGCCGGAAGTGGTGCTATGGCTCAAGTGGTAGAGTGCTAGCCTTGAGCTGAAGAGCTAAGGGACAGTGACCATGCCCAGAGTTCAGGCCCCACAACCAGACCCCCCCCCAAAAAAAAAGAAAAGAAAGAATAGGGAAGAGTAAATGAGCCTGGGCACACTTAATTTTCTAAATTTTAGTTCTGACAGGCCAATTAATTCATTTAATCTGCCCTCCCCCAAAAAATTTTAAAAAAAGCAAATCTGAAGGGCTCTCAGAAAAAGAAACATGAGGGCTGGGAAGGTGGCTCAGTGGTAGAGCGCTAGCCTTGAGCTGAAGAGCTGAGGGACAGCACTCAGGCCTAGAGTTCAGGCCCACGACCGGACCCCTCCCCCCCCAAAAAAAAGAAAAAGAAACATGAGTTGCAGAAAAAACGTCACAGACCAAAAGGAGACTTCACCAAACCCATTTAAATCACCACAGGCTGATTTTCTGATTTCCTGTTTTAAGTATAACCTCCTGGGATAACTTTTACTGCCCGCACACATTACCAGATGACTTTTGGTGTTAAGAGACGTCAAGGGCAAGTTGTTGGAAATATGAGTCTTGACTAAACATTACAAAAAGGAAAAAAAAAAGGCGGGGGGAGGTGTGGGTGGGAACGGGAGGTCTGGGAGGAAGAGGGGGAGGAAGAGACTGTGGCTGTTTCCCATTTCGATCTGTAATCAGAATTGCAGACTTTTGCGTACCCAGCCTAGTCACGTCCTCAGACACAAACCAGCATACAAACAGCACAGCTGGACGCAGCTGGACGGGCCCGGGGCCCAGGATGTATTCTCAAATCCAAACAGCCACATCAAACGAGAAAGAAAATTCAGAAAGCAAGCAAGAAAGAAAGAAAAGCCAAAAAACGGCCCAGGGAAGACGGACCAGATTTCAATCACAAAAGCGTGTGAGCCTCAAGTTTCTGGGTTTTTTTTTTTCTTTTTTAAGGTCTTTTTCTTCAACTTTACACTAGGAGAAACCTTTCAAGAGAAGGAGAGAAGGGAGTGATGGTGAGAAAAAACCCTTTAAGAGGAGAGTCCCCGGTTTGGGGTGTGGTGGGGTAAAGGTGGAGACCCAGTGGGGGGTGGGGGGTCCACAGAACCTCAGGCCTTGTAGGCGCCCTGGGTGGGAGGAGCCCCGAGGCCGGTCTCGAACCCCAGGAGACCCCCGGATGGCAGGTTCGCGCGCTTCGACCGGCGGGCGACGCCCCAGTGCACCCCACCACCCCGATCGCGGCGGCGGGCTCGTTCCGAGGCCACCCCTCCCCCGCAGCGCCACCCCCCACCCCCGGTTTCCTGAACCCAGGGGCCTCGCTGGAGGTCGGAGACGGGAAACCCCGGAGGCTGCAGGGCAGCGGCCGGCTCGGCCCGTGCAGCTCCCGGCCGCGCCCGCCGCCACACTTCCTGGAAAGCACCGCGGGGCTGAACTTACCTGACTGACGCCCGCCCCCCTCCCGGGGCCGCCACCGACTTCCTTCACTGACCCGCGGGAACTGCCGGCCCCACGCGCCGCAACTCGGTTCCCAAGCAGCCCCCGCCGGACCGCTGAGGGAGTTTCCCCGACCCACTCGCCAGCAGCGCCCCCGGCTCGGCTCGTCTACGCCGTCCGTGAGGCTAGTTCTCCGCCCTGCGCCTCCGCCGACACGCGCCTGCGCGCTCCCGGCGCGCGCGCGGGGCATCCCGGGAGTTGTAGTCCCAGCGAACGGAGGGCGGAGGAGGTTCCTTGCAGACCAGATCCTGATACTACTACCATAGTAGTAAGACCTTTGGAAGCCACGAACGATGCCAAGCTTTGGAAGACAATGCTTTCTTTCTTTCCTCTTTTCTTTCTTTTTTGGTTTAATTAGCACACAGGAATGGGACAGTAAGGTTTTGTTGTGGTATGTCTTTACATGCATACATACAGCTCTACCACTTAAGCCAGACACATCTCCAGTCCCCAGAGGTGTATGCCATAGGGCTGAGAAATAGAATCATTTTTCAGTACAAGCCAAGGTTGATAACAGTTGTCACTATCAAAGGTCAGACTTCTGAGATGCACTAAATGCAAACTGTGACCCCTAATTAAAAATACACACATAAATTATATAATACACATGTATACTATATATATATAAACACATACATACACACACTCCGTGTGATAGATTTATTCAGTGATAGATTTCTATTTTTACTTGGGCCTTTGTTTAAAAAAACAACAAGCAGGGTTTGTATCTTATACCATTGGTTACTAATAGGAGGACAGTATATCAGCTCTTAAGACTCATGCTTTTTATTTGTTTATTTTTTTTAACAGGGTCTGAGTTCTGTCCCTGAGCATTTTGCTCAAAGCTAGTGCTCTACCACTTGAGCCCCCACCTCCACTTCTATACTTTTTCTGAAGTAAGAGTCTCATGGACTTCTCTGCCTGGGCTGGCCTTCAATTATGAGCCTCAGTTGTCAGCCTCCTGAGTATACAGGCATGAACTACTGGGCTCAGCTGATGATTTCCTTAGACTCTTTAGACAGTAGCTCTTTGTCGCTAGAGATATAAACAAAACAAACAGAAGTTAAAGATCATCAATCAGACTTCCATCACTTGTAAGACATGGTGAGCCAAATGGATTCCACACACACACTTGCAGGCAGGGATGGTGTTACAGGTCTTGTCTCTCTACCTTCCTGACCAGGGAACAATCCATCCCATCTTCCCAATTCAGCCTCGATTTCTGCACTAGCAGAGAGAGTTGGACTGATATGGGTGGGAGTAAAAGACAACAGCAGATGCTAAAAAGAAGAAACTGAGGTAGCAGGGGAAGACAAGGAGTAACTAACGTTGGGTTTTGATACACCTTTCAAAAACACAGTGGAAGCCGGGCGCCAGTGGCTCATGCCTGTAATCCTAGCTACTTAGGAGGCTGAGATCTGAGAATCACAGATCAAAGCCAGCCTGCGCAGAAAAGTCTGTGAGACTCTTATCTCCAATTAACCACCAGAAAACAGGAAGTGGTGCTGTGGATCAAGTGGTAGAAAACTCGCCTTGAGCTGAAGAGCTGAGGGACAGCGCCCAGGCCTAGAGTTCAAGCCCCACGACCGACAAAAAAAAAAAAAATCAGTGGAGGGAGGCTGAGGGAGAGTGATGAAGGATGAAGGGGTGAATCTGATCAAGGTACATTGCATGCACATATGAAATATCAAAATGAATCCCCTTTGTACAACTAATTGATGCTAATTTCTTTAAAATGTGAAGTAAGACAGGCCCTGGTGGCTCATGCCATTGGTACTATCAAGCTCCTCAGGCGGCTGAAGTCTGGTGAATGGACGTTTGAGGCCAGCTGGAGCAGAAAAATTTTTGAAACTTGATCTGGATGAAAAAATTAAAAAAAAAAAACAGGGGCTGGGAAGGTGGCTCAGTGGTAGAGTGCTTGCCTTGCATGCATGAAGCCCTGAGTTCGATTCCTCAGTACCACATAAGCAGAAAAAGCTGGAAGTGGCACTGTGACTCAAGTGGTAGAGCTCTAGCCTTGAGCTGAAGAGCTGAGGGACAGCGCCCAGGCCCAGAGTTCAGGCCCCCAGGACTGGCAAAAATAAATAAATAAATAGCAGCAAAAATCCATGTTGCAAGCGTAGCTCAAGTAGTACAATGGCATGGGGTCAGAGGTGTGGCTCAGTTGGCACAGCACTAGCCAGTAAGCAAAAGCATCAGGTACTAAGTTTGATTGAGAGAGACAGAGAGAGAGAAAGAGAGAGGGAGGGAAGAGAGGGAGAGGGGTAGGGAGAAGAAGAGGAAGGAATGCAACCAGAAAGAGGGCTGAAGTACCAGCTTGAGGTACATTCCAGCCTCACCCAGTCTAGGGAGTTGCCTAATTGTTAAGCCTCTCTTGGCATCTACTTCTTTCCCGCAGACCAGGGAGCACCCTAGGTTAAACAAACACCCTGAAATGTTATGTACTCCTTCATTCCAGCAGTGAAGGGCACAGATGATTTGGGTTTTTAAGAAAATCATTGCAAGTGGAAAATACTCTTAGAAGACAGTTAATATGCTGGCTCATGCCTATAATCCTAGCTACTCAAGAGGCTGAGATCTGAGGATCGCCGTTCAAAGCCAGGCTGGGCAGAAAGTCCATTAGATTCTTATCCCCAATTAACAGATATATATATATATATATATATATATATATATAACATATATATGATAAATATAATATATGCCAGAAGTGTAGCTGTGGCTCAATGGTAGAGTGTTAGCCTTGAACAAAAAAGTTCAGGGACAGCATCAAGGCCCTGAGTTCAATCCCCAGGATCAGCATTAAAAAAAAAAAAAAAAGATAGTTAATATTCCACCTTGAAGCTTTTGCAGCTTATTTTCTTTTTTTGTTTGTTGGTCATGGGGCTTGAACTTTGGGCCTGGGCACTGTCCTTCAGCTCTTCAGCTCAAGGCAAGTGCTCTACCACTTGAGCCACAGTGCCACTTCCAGTTTTCTGGTGGTTAATTGGAGAGAAGAGGCTTATGGACTTTCCTGCTGGGGCTGGCCTTGAAACCTGATCCTCAGATCTCAGCCTCCTGAATAGCTAAAATTACAGGCATGAGCCACTGCCACCTGGCTCATCCAATTTTTTTAAAGTGAGATCATCTGTGATTATGTCCAAGGAATAGGAAGAAAATTCTCAAAGACATTCTAAGGGACATAGTACCATGAATGGTCAAGATGAATACTGAGGTTCCTTTGATAATCCTCCATTTTACTCTGTATTAGAGATCCTAATGTATTCAGGCTTATCAGCAAGTCTGTTATGATTTTTTTTTTTGGGTCCGGTCGTGGGGCCTGAACTCTGGGCTTGGACGCTGTCCCTCAGCTCTTCAGCTCAAGGCTAGCGCTCTACCACTTGAGCCACAGCGCCACTTCCGGCATTTTTTTTCCTTTTTGCTTATGTGGTGCTGAGGAATCGAACCCAGGGCCTCATGCATGCAAGGCAAGCGCTCTACCACTGAGCCACCTTCCCAGCCCTGTTATTTTTTTTTTTAACTAGTACTGGGACTTGAACTCTGGACCTGGGTCCCTGAGCATGTTCACTCAAGGCTAGTGTTCTACCACTTGAGTGACAGCTTCATGTATGAGTTTTTGTTGGTTAATTGAAAATAAGAGTCCTAAGTACTTTCCTATCCAGGCTGGCTTTGAACTATGATGCTCACTTCTCAGCTTCCTGAGAAGCTAGGATTACAGTTGTGAGCTACTGGTATTAGGCATGTTGTGAATTTTTGCCCTAGGTCTGGAACATTACTACTGAGGAAACTGACAAAATGGAGTTCTTTAAGAAACAAAGCAGGCAAGTATGGTGGCTTGTGCCATTCATCTCAGTTATTTGTGAGACAGAAGTATCACTACTTGAGGCCAGATCAAAAATAAAAATTAAAAAAACCTATCAATACCCTACCTCAAAAAATAAGCCCTAGCCAGGTGTCGGTGGCTCACACCTATAATCCTGGCTACTCAGGAGGCTGAGATCTGAGGATCACAGTTCAAAGCCAGCCTGGGCAGGAAAGGCCATGAGACTCTTCTCTACAATTAACCACCAGAAAACTGGAAGTGGCACTGTGGCTCAAGTGGTAGAGCACTTGCTTTGAGCTGAAGAGTTTAAGGACAGTGCCCTGGCCCAGACTTCAAGCCCCACGACCAAGAAAGAAAAAAAAAAAAAAACCCAAATGGTAGATCATATCTGTAGTCCCAGCTAGACAGGAGGAATAAAAGATCACAGTCAAAAGCAGGGGGAATTACTGAACTACTAAAGCAAAAGGGGCCAGCATGTAACTCAAGTGGTAGAAGGGCTGGCCAGTAAGGGCATAGGAGTTCAAACCTACTGTGTTGTCAAAAGCAAAAGAAGAAACAAGAAAAAAAATAGTTTAATAGTTTAAATGAGGACAGAGTAGGGTTTGTATTTGTTTTCAGGGTTTGGTTAAAATGGAAATGACTGACAAAATGGCGGGCCAATTTTCTGTATTATATTTCTGCTCTAATCAGTGTTCGCTTTGATCCTGCAGCCAGAATGACTCCTAAACCACGTGTCTCACTGAATCATCATAAGGAAAATAATGTGTGTGTGGGGGGGGAACCCTCTCCTTATCAAAGGCTTCCTGTAGGACTCCATGTTCTTGCTAGACATAGACATATTTTAACTTGTAATTCAAAGGACAGCAGTGAAAAATCTTAGCTATAGACAGCAACTTGAAAGTGAAAGGTAAGGATTTGTTTCTGAGGGTGGAGTTGGGAAGAATGGAGAGGGAGAAGGGAATCAGAGAAGACAATGATCATGGCCAGGTTCACACACATTTATGGAACGGATCCAAGCAAACACTGGGGCCTGGTATCCCATTTTCTGTCACTTCCTTTCTGCTTATGAAATACCACCTCTAGACCATCATCCACTGCAATTCATTCCATCCTTTCCCATAGTTTCAAACTCTCCTCCAGAGATGTATCTTCTTATTATTTTGGTTTTGGTTTTTCTTGGAAGTCCTGGGATTTGAACTGGAGACCTTTAGTCTTACTAAGCAGATACTTTATCCCTTGAGCCACCTTGCCAGTCCCTAGAAGAGCATCTAATACTAACACATTCCAACCAAATTGCCATGAGGCTGA